GGCAACTTTGCCCTTTTAACCACAAATTTGCACCACCCTGTACAATGCTTAAAATAAAATATGTTATGTCACTTTAATATAATGTATAGAGCTATAAAACTATTGGTACATATAATATACAGAAAATATATACTTTAAACGGCGCAAAAGCGCTGTTGCGTGCTTAAAGCTCGTTATCGTCTGCATTGGTTATCTCCAAAGTTCCATGAACACGTAGCCTAGAAATAAAAGCTTTGGGGAAAGCTTACACCGCAGTAATTACCTATAGACGCATGTGAAAATGGGATTTCCGTGATTCGAGAAGACCCTAAATTCGATGTACTCGAATGATCTGTCAATAGAATAGGTTTCAAATGTTTGCAATGGAAGACCCTCGATGTCATATACAAATTCACCCAACAAATTTGCGCCATCACCGTCATCCTCCTCGGAGTCTAATCCCTGGAAGCAGACCGTGGTAATATACTTCTTTATGCTATGCCCTTACGATAACTGCAAACTCCTTTGGCGCGGTATCAATTTTGCCAGTTGGTGAAATTGCCTTTGAAATGTGTTCAATACTAACGCTATCTATGAAAACTGGACCTAACAACTTTATTAGTGCGTAGCCTGTTGAACCCTTGAAGGCCCAGCATTCTCCAGGCAAGACACCGGGCTGTAGAAGGCAATGTAGAAACTGTCAAAGTCTAACGTACACTACCTGTAGTATTTGCCGAGGACCATTGGAGCTTTGGCATATGGGTATGCCAAAAAGAGTGCAGGACCTGGAACTCGATTCATGTTGCTCGGTGTCACCCACGGATATAATTCTGCCACCTAGAACACCAGTTTTAGTGAAGCCCTATGAATTGCTCGAATCTGATTACCGGCGGACTCCAAGGCAAAATCTGGCTTAGTCGTTTTATCCGCATCATATTGTAGCAATGCCTGCTGTATATCATCGAGCATACCGCCACCACCACGTGCGCCACGTGTGCCGACAGCACTCAACGCCCCGCCTTTCCCCTACGAATTCTGGTGAAGCAGTTTAAAATGAAAAGGTTGCAACTTACGCCTAGAAGATGGTTTCGCATTTCGTATAAACACGTTTGAACGTCAGTAACTCGTACATAAAAATATACTAAAATAAAGACCGACGCGCCACCTGTAAAAAGTGATTAAATTGCGAAGTGCGGGACGTCGGTCGGTTACATAATAAAAAGAGATTCGTGCATTTGCAGCTTCTTCGGTTTGCTTCTTCATCACCTTCTCGGCAAGGGGGTGGAAAATTCATTGCTCCTACGTCACGGTGAGACCACCAGCACGTAATTCATCGAGTGAAGGTGTTTGTCGGTGACGTTTACGCTTGACATTATTTTTTATCCATAGCAACCCCTAAATTCCAAAAAGATGCAGTCACGTAATTAACTTCGGAATTTGCTGATCCCACCAGATGGTCCTTAAATGAAAGCTAGGGTGATAGGGTAGAAGGTGTACGCTAACCTCAAGAACGGGGTGGATTCAGCTTTAGGAAGGTCTTCTTGTAACAGTTTCACGTACTCATTATCGTTTTTTAGGAGACCAATTGTAGTTTTTTGTTCTCCATCTACTTGTTGACAGCTTCTATAACTCGTTGGAAGTTTCTCACTGGATTTTCAAGTTTCCTACCCTCCGCTACGATGGTGATGTCATCGGCGAAACTTATAACGTTTTCCCCCGGAGGTACAATGATGTCAAATGCCCCATGTGTGATTGTCCATAAGGTTTGTCCGATAACCTCCCTTTATATGTTCCTTCCTCCGCCTCAATGTGATATTTAAGAGATATGTTAATTATTAACATATAAGATCGATGACAGAGATGGATGTATTAACAGTTAATACATCCATCTCTGTCATCGATCTTATGATGTCCTGTTCGCGTTCTGTTCTGCAGGGTCTTTATGGTGTCTACCGTCGACCTTCCTTTTCGGAAGCCATATTGTCCATCTGATATTCGTTTGCTCATTACTGCGTCAAGCCTATTTTTAATTATTTTTTCAAAGATTCTTTCCAGAGGAAACAAGAACTCGAGAATGTTGTAATATTGGACACCACAACAAGAGGGCATTGATCTTCTAAGATCTTGAAAATGGAATCTGACACCACAAAAAATGGGTTTATTGTCCTTGGATAACCTTGAAAATGTAATTTGCCAGCACATAAAAATACAGTCATTGACCTTGTATGCCATTGAAATTTAATTTGACCGCACAAAAATAAAACCATTGACCACATGGGGCCAATAACCTTGTATGCCCTTAAAAATGATGTCCATTAACCTAGCAGAACAAGGTCAGCAGAACACAATCAAACATATTGCATAATTATGTGCAAAATTAGATGCTAATTAAGTGTCCTATTCCCTAATTAAATGCTCCTTTTTTTTAAATTATGAACCTGGCAGAACGTGTAATAATTTTTATAAAAAGAAGCATTTAATTCGGGGATAGGGCGCTTAATTAGCACCTAATTATAGTTAGTTGACTTTTTATTTTCTTGGGTTTTTAAGGTAGTGCTCTGCTGAGTTCATATGAACCTGGCAGAACATGTAATAATTTTAAAAAAAGGAGCATTTAATTCGGAGATAGGGCTCTTAATTAGCACCTAATTAGCACCTAATTATAAATAGTTCACTTTTCATTTTCTTGGTTTTTTGAGGTAGTGCTCTGATGAGTTCATATGCACCTGGCAGAACATGTAATAATTTATAAAGAAAAGGAGCATTTAATTCGGGAATAGGGCACTTAATTAGCACCTAATTATGCAATGTTTGTGCGTTCTGCTGACCTTGCTCTGCTAGGTTCATGGAAATTTAAAAATGTAATTTATCAATTGAGGCCATTGACCTTGTAAATGTAATTTAACACTCCATGTAATGATAACTTGTGTACGCGCCCTACCGTCCAAGGTCACAGCCCACGTGGCACGCAACTTTCACTTTAACCTAATTTCCAAGGTCACCACGTGACAGGCGACTTTACCTTGACCTAGTTTCCACAGTCACCACCAGATGGCGAGCGATCTAGAAGTGGTCCAGGATCGCCCCCGTATAACTACTCACTTCGCAGTGTGGAACTTCCTAAAATTCACTTTCGTTCTTCTCAGTTGGTTCAAGTGGCACACGTTTGGAGAAGAGCTGTCTAATAGTACGTCGCAAAGCCTCATCATTCCATCCTAATAGGTACCCTTTCTTGTTGAATTTACGAGAAACTTATCTTACGCCCTCTACCTCAATCGTCCTTTCCAAGTTCATCACACAGCATTTATCAGCACTTTTACGGTCGTTGATTCCCTTCTTGGTAAGTTGTCTAGATTCCTTGAGGCCAACAATTGCATCTTCAAGAGTTCTTCCGGCCTTCCTCACTCTGGTGACAATTCACCACCTTTGCAACACGCGTTCTGCGAAGATATTCCACCAGTACACCGCATATTCTCCTCATCTCGCTCTTTAGATGTTCAGCATCCCTCTTAATTGTTCACTGTACGTACATTTTTGTTCCATTTTACGTACATACGTTCATGGGACAAATATGTACGTCTGATGTACGTACAGTTGTGTGCGATTACAAACTATAACTCTGTAACATACAAAGTAGGTACATGATACGTCAGAAAATTCTGTCAACTGATAATTTTTGATAATGTGATCATGACGTGCCCACGTACGTTAAATATACAGTCACGTTGTTCAATAAAAAGTTGACTAAACCGCACGGGTACTTCCTAAGTAACACAGGTACGTGCACTGTAAATACATAGTACGTACAGCCTTGGATTTATGAACTTACATTTCACGTACTCTTACGGTTTATGTACGTATATCTCACGTACATGGTAAGCTATTTTTGCACCATTTTGTACAACCTAAGTACGTACTTTGACGTACGTACTATGTACGGGAGAAGGAGTAAGTACATTATACATACATAACAGTACATCTAATGCACGTATGGCAAAGTACAAACCTAACATGTACAAAGTAGTGCAAAAACAACGTACCATGTTCGTAAAATGTACGTCCATAAATCCAGCGCTGTACGTACTATGTATTTGCAATGTACGTACTTGTGTTATTTGTGCCGTTATACAGTTGGTCTGTTTCTCTTTCCCAGGTATTTGTTCGTGGGTGCTTTCCTCCACATAACTATAGTCATAGTCACTCAAGCTCTCCTCCTCAAGTACTGTCCATCCACGGAGCGCAGAGATAACTGTAGATGGGAGCGTTGCTCCTTGCGTGCAAATGCAGGTGTCTCTCTCTAATCGCTATGTCTTTGTTGTGCAGGGCTGACCACATAAGTGGTTAAACGTTCCTCTCAGATTCTGGCCTCGCACCATGCCGGGAAAGGGGTATTAAAATCACCGGCCGCTATTGACTGCACCACTCATGCTGGCGTTAAATTGTCCCGAGTGTCGTCGAAAAACGATCGTCTGTTTCATTCGGCGACAAATATAGGTACACTATAAATACGCAAAAGATAGAAAAAGTATTAAATTTAACTACGTTTACCAACACTAACTAAAAGTCAGATAGTTATTGGGCGTCTCTGCTATTTATCAGCTTGGACACGCCATTGTCCACGGAGCGTGGCCTTCAATATCAAACACGAGACATTTTTTGTCGCACTTATTCCTATAGTGACCCTTCTTGCCGCAATTAAAGCACTCTTCTCTTTCAGATCCCATTCACTACATAGGTATACGGCCTATTGGGTCGAATCCTCAACACACGCCACACTTATTCACCCCCACCCTTTTCTTAACGAAGCGGTCCATACTCCGGTGTCCGGATTCTTTTCATTCTCGTCCCCTGGGCTACAGCTGTAATTTCTGATACATCAACAATTTCCAAAGCAAGTTCTGTTGATATCTTCTTTCTATCTTCGAAGTTCCTGGCGAAGACTGCATAGAAACTCTATGACAGCATCTTTCTCTCGGTAGAGCTGTTCCGCTATTTAGCCTATGGCAGTTCTATGTACAAATATGAGGGTAGATAACCGCTAAGTGCGAACTGACACTGCATCTGCAATATCAAGCAGCTGGTAAACAAAGAAATCTTTTCGGGGTAAATTTTTGTCTATGTAATTTTGGACAAAAAACTTTGCCAAAGTTTGTCTTGCATTTTGAAATAACGCGAACGTGATTTTCGTAAAAAAACTGAAGTGTGAGAGACTGAACCTAAGTTTGTCGTCTCTTTCTTGCGTTCAATCGACAAACCAATTCTTTTTAAAAACCTTTTTTTTTTCAATTCTATCAAAATTGTTCTTCATTTATTTCAATACTAGGTAGTTATGTAAGTGTCAAATAACTCCCAGTTAGAATACTATACTTAAAATAAAAATGCGCATTTTCTTTACAGAGATTCTTCAAAGTCGTTCCAGGAGACTCAGAAGGCAGCTCTAAATTAGAAGCCGAAGAAGACTCGCCTAAATCTAGCCGATACATCTGCATGGACTGTGGCAAACAATACGCAACCTCCAGCAACCTCTCGAGGCACCGACAGACGCATCGAAGTCTCGACTCGCAATCGGCCAAAAAATGCATGACATGCGGTAAGGCCTACGTTAGCATGCCGGCCTTAGCGATGCACGTACTCACACACAAACTCGCGCACAGCTGCGGCGTCTGCGGCAAACAGTTCTCGCGACCGTGGCTCCTGCAGGGCCACCTGCGCTCGCATACCGGCGAAAAGCCGTACGGTTGCGCGCACTGCGGCAAGGCGTTCGCCGATCGGTCCAACTTGCGCGCGCACATGCAAACGCATTCGGCCGACAAGAATTTTCGCTGTTTAAAGTGTAAGAAGACGTTCGCGCTTAAGTCATATCTAAACAAACATCAGGAATCGACCTGTTGGGATTACAATAAGGAGAGCGATCCGGACGACCCGAACGATCCGGTCGTCGAAAACGTACGCAAAATTTTGGGTAACTCTAGCAATTAAAGTAGGTATATTTTTTAACAAAGCCTAGGACACGCTGGTCTTGCAATAATAAGCAATATTCGCTACTGATAACGCTTAAGAGTCGTACGAAAACTGATAGAATTTAATATTGCAACGAACCATTTTTTTTAGATAGGTTCTACTCGTATGCATCCACTTCGTGTGTACAGATCATTCCCGTATTCTTTAAGAAATTTCCAAAGTGAGATATTATGTAGTGGTTAAGACTTAGATATTTATTTATGTAATAGGAAGAAAGCATTAGCGTGTCAAAATTACGTATAATTACTCAGAAAAAGTATATATTTTTCAAAGTACACAATTATTTTAACCGTTGAGGCCAATGCTATACAACGAAATAAATTTATGTGTATTGCGTTGTAGTAGGTATTTATACGTCAATACGATATCGGACTTTAAATATCCCCCCACATATTAACTGGGTAGCAATAGGAAAGTTTACATTATTATTATTATTTTGGTTCAGTGCATCCCTAACGACCATTGGAAGGAAGTCTCCATCACAGATTCAATTGTTTAAAGATACCGAATCATTTGGTGATTAGTACGTTATTAGAAAAATAATAATGATAAAAACAGAGTAATTTCTGGTCAAGTATTATTACGTAAATGCGAGCAAATTTAAATACATACACTGTACATATCTCAAAATAAGCCTTACAATAGTAACCGTGGTTCCTAGTACACTTTCGAAAGGAGAGATAAACCAGACGTGTTTCCGCTCCATCTTCTATCATTATTTTGTAATTAAGTATTCCAACTACTAAATTTAATCCCCTTTTGCTCACTAACGGCTACACAGCGTAGCGAAAACACCAGCGCGTTTAATTAATCTATCCTTGATTGAGCACAACTTCATTTATGTGACGGGAAGGTATATATTTCACACTGTGTCATATTCTAACACGACAATTCCCATTTTGGGGACGCAATCACTTAAACCCTTTCTCAATATTAACTTTATCGGCTTTGAAGTCGCGCAACTTCCTAAGATAACGTTTTCTATTATTAATACAGGCCATTTGTGCTCAAACGGGCATCTAGCGGGAAAGTTGTGGGGTAGTTTTGATTTCTTTGATTCCATATGTTTTTTGGGGTGCTGAATCCGAATCTGAGGTTTGCCAACAAAATTTCTTGACGCAACATTGAAAAAAACACAAAAGAAGTTGAAAAAGATATTTTTTTGGCAGTTTTGTGCTTACAATTTGAAAACTATCAACTATTCGAAAATAACCTTCCTATTCAAAATGAAAGTACATAAAATTTCCTACAGACCCCACTATTTAGTTTTTTTCCTTGATGAACCGTTCGGGCTCGAGTGCCAGTTGAAAATTGGGGTATTTCAGCTGTATCCGCAAATACTCATCTTTTATTATTATTTTATTATTATTCTGTGCAAATATAAATCCGTACTTTTCATTGTCTACCGGTCTCTTCAAAAGATTTTATAACTGTTCCGTCTGGTACAAAACTCTCCCACTCCTTCACAGATGAGCCAAGGCCCATTACGTCACCGTGTACCTGCGTTTGCAGTCTGGAGACCCTCCTCCCATTCACATACATGCACACCCTCACAAAGTTACACAGATGGACGGACGGACAGTCCAAAATCATGAACTCGCTTTTTGTCGCTGGTTAACATGTAAACAGAAAAGAAATAAATCGAGTTCAGTTGTTAGCAGACAAATTTAAGCTGGGGTAATTGCGTTACCCCACTCCGAGGAGTACGTGATTCTTCAGAACACCGGAGCAAGAGGGATAATGCCGTTGAATAGGAAATTTATATACCCCCTTTTGCCATTTGAATTTTTGAATTAATAATGACCACAGCGCCAATTTCCCAAATTCAACAATAATTATCCAAACATGCTAAGGTAGGGTTTTGTGATTTCTTTATCTGGTTCGGAAGAGAGTGGGAATAGTTTTAGATGGCACAGTATAAGTATTATATATCATAAATAATATAATAATATGACATAGTGTTGTTCGTTAGAAATTAACTTTTCATACAATTCTGGACTACAATAAACACCTTGAATGTTATAAAAATGAGAAAACCACCCTTACATATGGAATTCAAATAATAGTCGGTAAATGCAAGGAATTCACTTATTGACAACGCTTAATATTAATTTAGGGTTTTAGTGCGAAAAACTATGTTTTGTGGAGATAGCCGAAATACGCCAATTTTCAACTGGCACTTGAGCCCGAACGGTTTATCGAGGAAAAAAACTAAATAGTGGGGTCTGTAGGAAATTTTATGTACTTTAATTTTGAATAGGAAGGTTATTTTCGAAAAGTTGATAGTTTTCAAGTTGTAAGTACAACACTGCCAAAAAAATATCTTTTTCAACTTCTTTTGTATTTTTTTCAATGTTGCGTCATGAAATTTTGTTAGCAAACCTCAGATTCGGATTCAGCACCCCAAAAAACATGTAGAATCAAAGAAATCAAAACTACCCCACAACTTTCCTGGTAAAAATACAATTTAACTGGATTATATTCCCACTCCACAAAACACTTTCACCCTTGACGAATTCAGCACAAATTTGCTTATCGACGAAAACTATTACAGTTGATTGTCCGTTGGTGGTTCTCAACTAAATTAAACCCCCCCTATCCCTCATTAATTAATGGATGCCTACAAAATGGTTTTTTATAACAAACTCGGAAGTCTTTAATCGCTAACCTGTTTGCTTAATTCCCACCCCACGAATCAAACCATAATCAGATCATACGACCAACATTGATAAATGTATGGAAAATAATTATTACGGACAATGTCAACAATGGTTAAGTTTTGTCTCTCTCATACTCCTATAATGCTTATTGAGTTTCTTTCTAGCTTATTAGCAATTTCTTTTTTCGATGCCTGTATATGCTACGCTGTAATTTCCACGATACTAAACGGACTTCATGCCGAATTCGCAGTTGTAACCAAATAGCTTGAATTAAGATAACGAAAAATGCTACATCTAGTCTCCGTACATCCGGAATCCATTAAAAAAGTAATGCTCTACGGAAATTACATGATGCAGAAAAGAAAAGGAAATCGGCCCTCTAAATTATGACATACCATAGAATTTCTATTATATTACTCAGAAATCTCAACGAAATTTCGAAAAAAATTAAATGCAAATGAAAATTTACCGTTACAGTACCCCTTGAGTACCATTAGAGTAATCACGTTTTATTTTGATGGATTAATTGACAGCTTTCGATGTGGAGCATCTCTTCTGGTTCTATCTACGTTTTCGTTTTGATTCCATCTTAATAAAACACCAACCCGCATCATTGATTTCGTATTTCGTGTACTGATTCTATTCTCCAGTCCCTATAGTTTTGTTTCCATTCCTACCACTGAAAATTAGAAAAGGAAGGTACACTTGAGTATTTTATAAGCGCAATATTTCAAAGCACGGCATAACAAATTGATTGGTGAGAGGTAATAATACGGAAAAAGAGACGAGAACAATTTATTGGGGTGGGGTACAATAAAATAATATTCGCGGATTTGTGACAGGCATAACGAATGTAAAAGATAAGAGAGAGATAAGAATAATAAAGGTAATAGTGAGATTGAGATGTGGAAATGAGGAGAAAGGGTATGACGGATGGAAAAAAGAGGAAGAAAGGAAATGAGGATTATGTATCAAAAAAGAGAATATATAAATAAATATATGAAGAAAAGCAGGAAACAAATATTACAGGAAGAAGGAAAGAGAGAGAATTGGATGTAAGAGAGAAAGAGTAAGAGAAGATGAAGAAGCAAACGGAAAGAGACGGAGATGAGGATGAGGATCGACACGAAGAAAGAGAGGAAGAAGAGGGGAAGTGCTCGCCGAAAGGTTTTCCATTTCTTTTGGATTGGTGGGCGTGGTTCCATTAGGACTAACTAAATTCTAGATCGGGAAAAGTCTGCTCTTTTTATATTCCTGCGAGCAAATGGATACTATCTGGTGAACCGTTGTTGCCGAAGTTTGCATGCAGGTTTTACGTTTAAACTCCGTAACAAATTAAATTTTACGTTCTTATTCGGTGCTATATTATAAAATTTATGATTCCACCCACTTCTAATGGAAAATATCGGAAAGTTTTCCAATGAATCCGTTTCAGCTAAAATGTTTTCAATTTTATATGGTTTTTGGTTACACAGGAAATTGACTTACACTTCGTTATTTGAAATGTGACTTTTAATCTACAAAAATCTGGAATAAATTTGATATAGGTTTGGGAACTCTTTGAGTTTTTTCTAAATCTTTGCGAAATATACTCTTTTCAGTATATCAAATAGGTACTTGTTATCAAGCAAACGCTAATAAGAAATTCGTTCATATCAAATTTCGTAGTTTTGAACTTAATGTTATTGGAACTGCCTTTATTCATTCAACAATGGATGTTATATTGAAAAGACAGTTTTTAATTACAACGAATAGTCGCTTGTAACGGCTATACAGAACGGAACCAAACTCTTAGGTTCGAAGAGATTGTGGCAACCGCATCTGTTTTCTCCAATACAGATCTTGTTATCGCTAGACATACTTTTGTCCATGTTCGCTATGTAGCGGTATATACCTATGTTTCACAAAATACAAATACAAAATCGAGAAAATTACTTTTGAAATTCTTAAGCGACCACCCGTTACAGTACCCCCTCGTGTTTTTCAAAATGAAAAAACCAGATTGCGATTTTAAAAACAGCAAAAATCATCAGAAGTTAACTGACCTAACCTAAAAATTTTTGAACCAATTTATCTAACCTATAAAACCTAAATCAATTCAAAAAGCATAAAAAATAAGGTCTTCTATTCACTTCGCTTCCTTTATCTTCAACACACTATTAAATTTTACTACTATTCACAAAACAAATAATAGGCTATTCAACACAGCTCCACTTCACTTCTAAACTTCTCTTCATTTAACTTCACTTCTATGCGAATTGGACAAGTGTGATATTTCCTCTTTTTCTTCCTCCTCTT